TACTGAATCCATATAGTTTAGAGATGAAATTGAAAGGTCTCTCTCCCGTTAGATTGAAATCGGGTTCTAATGGCTATTTGTTAGAGTTTCTTTTATGGTTAAAAAACTGCTTTTGTCATGTTTTTCTTTACACAAGAGTCTACAAGCGTGAGTTTTTGTTTTTGTATTTTGTACCCATTCTCAAAGATGCCCGGCTCCACTCGAGAAGATTTGTAGTGACAAAATTATTCTGACATATTTCAATTTAAAGTTAAACAAAGATTTTAATTTTCTAGTCTTCAAATTCTATAGGATGAGTTTATTGGATTTTTAATAGTGAAAGAAAGTGAAACTTGAAGATATTGAGAAAATCGTTGAGTATACAAATTTAACATCCGGATATTAAATTTGTATATTAAGAATTTGAAACTTATTTTACATTTGTAACAATTTCATTAATTATTTCATGAAGTTGTTTTTGTTTCAATTTTGTGTTATGTAACTTTATTTTGTTAAAGTTACATGTTGTTAAACTTGAAGTTATACTTCAAATGAGAAGTTTTTCTTCATGTTGTTAAAGTTGAACTTAATTCTTGTGTGAGGAGTTTCATGTTTAAATAACTATATATAGTTGTGATTTTCTTCATTTTGACATATCCAAGCATACCACAATTAGGTATTCTCCTCCTCCCACAAGAATTCTCTCTTCTTTTGAGTTGTTCTTCTTGTTTATGTTGAGAGTAAGTATCTAAGAGTTCTACCAGATCCGAGTAGTTCGAGGTTGCAGTTCTACCGGAGTTAGTCGTTGTATCCTGCTGAGACGATCGTTGTAGTCTGCTAGCAACTTGTGCAGAGCGAATAATTGTCTTCAGCGTATATTTACCCAACAGAGTTGTGTCCCCCACCCCCACGATCTTCCGTGATCTTCCGGTGCTGTTCCTTGTCGTGGTCCACTCTCAACCTTTCGCAACCCGATCTTCATTTATCTCTATCGATTTGCAGGGCTGGCTGGCAAGGATAGTGTTCAATTTTTTTTATCTAACCTGAAAGCCTTAAATGATTAATGTAGTGTATTTGAAGTTGGTTGTTAGTGTTGAATGCTTAATGATTAAATATAGAGTTTATGCAAATGATTTTTCATTCTTATGGAATGAGTCATATTCATTCTAGTTATTAAGCATTTTTGAACGGTGATATTTGATCCAAAATCCGCCTTATCTACTTCGGACTTTTCACTCACACTTTATGAGAAGGTGAATTCAGCCCTAACATTTACTCACTTGGTTTTATGTAGAGTATAAGAATTATTTATCTGTGTTGGTAGAACTATTCAAAATGTGGGTGCTCATGTGGTAAGATTTAATTGAAAGAAAAAAATGTTATGCCCTTGATATTATTTGTGCAAAAATTTCATATAAACTAGATAAGGATAGCCACACAGACACTTGCTCTACACTGATTTTGTGCAATTAATGCTTTGAATTCACTAACACCCTTGCCTTAGTAACTAATGTTGAAAGTTAAGATGAATGGCCTAATTTTGAATATTTTGACGTAACATTATTGATGCTGCAGCATCGGAATCAGGAGAGAGCAGAAAACGATAAAAGCTGAAAGTGAAAGAGCTTAACCTGGGGAGTTACGACAGTAACTTGGAGAATGCACCTAAAAGTTAGAGCTGTGGCCCAATTTATCTATTTTACTGCCCTAAAATTGATGGGGGGATATATACTAACATTTAAGGTAGCCTCCACACATTCTCCAACCCATTACTTCACTCTCACTTCAAGAAAAAGCTCTCAACCATTTCGAAGAAGACAAGGAGGAAGGAGACTTGGAGAAGCTTTGGAAGACAGAGACCACATTTTGGAGCTGATATTCCTCAGCCCCTTCCTCTTTCCTCTAGTTCTTATTCAGTATTGAACTCATTACTTGTAACGCTAGACTAGAGAGG